TGTGAGAGTTAAACGACATGTCCTGATCGAAGATAACTCCAAGATTTCTCACAGTGGTGCTGGAGGCCAGGGCGATGCCATCCAGGGAAACTATATCTCTAGATAATGCGTCACGAAGGTGTTTAGGCACTAGAACAATAACTTCAGTTTTAGCTGAGTTTAACATTAGAAAATTGCAGGTCATCCAGGTTTTAACATCCTGAAGGCACATTTGAAGCTTAGCTAGCTGATGAGTTTCATCTGGCTTGATCGATAGGTATAACTGAGTATCATCTGCATAGCAATGAAAGTTGATAGAGTGTTTCCTGATAATATTACCTAAAGGAAGCATATATAAAGTAAAGAGGATTGGTCCGAGAACGGATCCTTGCGGAACTCCGTGGCTAACTCTGGCATGCATGGAGGACTCATCGTTAACATGCACAAACTGAAACCGATCTGATAAATAGGACCTAAACCAACTTAGAACGGCTCCTTTAATTCCGATGAAATGTTCCAGTCTCTGTAGTAGGATCTGATGGTCAATGGTGTCAAAAGCAGCACTAAGATCTAATAAAACCAAGACAGAGACGAGTCCTTTGTCTGATGCCATTAGGAGGTCATTAGTAATTTTCACCAGTGCGGTCTCTGTGCTATGGTGAGCTCTAAATCCTGACTGAAAATCCTCAAACAAGCTATTGCTATGTAGATAGTCACACAGCTGTTTGGCTACTGCTTTCTCCAGGACCTTGGAGATGAATGGAAGGTTGGATATAGGTCTATAGTTGGCTAAAACATCTGGGTCCAGGTTAGGCTTTTTCAAAAGAGGCCTAATTACAGCAACTTTAAAGTACTGTGGCACATAGCCTGTTAATAAGGACAGATTGATCACGTCTAGCAGAGAAGTACCGACTAAGGGTAGGACTTCTTTAAGCAACCTAGTCGGGATGGGATCCAAGAGGCAAGTTGAAGGTTTGGATGAAGAAATGATTGAAGTTAGTTGACAAAGATTGAGGGAAGCAAAACAGTCAAAACATATAACTGGTTCTGGTCCTACAGTTACTGAGTTTAAAGATAAGTCGATGGTAGTTGAGGGCAAGTCTTGGTGGATTTTGTTCCTGATAGCTAGAATTTTATCGTTAAAGAAGCTCATGAAGTCATGGCTAGTGAGAGCTATTGGAATACTTGATTCAATAGAGCTGTGGCTCTCAGTCAGCCTGGCAACAGTGCTGAAAAGAAACCTGGGATTGTTCCTATTTTCCTCAATTAAAGACGAGTAATCTGCTGCTTTGGCATCACGGAGGGCCTTCCTATAAGCTTTAAGACTATCTTGCCAAGATAAACGAGACTTTTCCAGCTTGGTTGAACGCCAGTTCTTCTCAAGTTTCCGAGATATCTGCTTTAATTTGCGGGTTTCACTAGTATACCATGGAGCTAACCGTCTTTGTTTAAGAATTTTCTTCTTTAGGGGGGCTACAGCGTTAAGAGCTGTTCGCAGCGAGCCTTCAACACTATCAACAAGATGATCAACTTGGGAAGGACTGAAATTAACATAAGAGTCCTCTGTTTCTGTACGACTTGATAATGGATGTAGAGCTGATGGAATCACATCCTTAAATTTAGCTATAGCACTATCAGACAGGCATCTTGAGTAGACATTTTTACCCAGTGGAGGGTAATTCAGCAGTAAAAGCTCAAAAGTTAGCAAACAGTGGTCAGATAAAGACGGATTATGTGGGAACACTATTAAATGTTCAATTTCAATACCATACACCAGAACAAGATCAAGGGTGTGGTTAAAACAGTGAGTCGGTTCATGAATACTCTGAGAGAAGCCAATGGAATCTAACAGAGAGATAAATGCAGTACTGAGGCTGTCATTCTCAACATCCACATGGATATTAAAGTCCCCTACAATAATTACTTTGTCCGTTTTAAGGACTAAAGTTGACAAAAACTCTGCAAATTCAGATAAGAATTCAGAGTATGGACCGGGTGGTCGGTACACTATAATAAATAGAATAGGTTGCAGTGATTTCCAGCTTGGGTGGGAAAGACTCAGAACAAGGCTTTCAAAAGAGTTATAGTTCAATTTAGCTTTAGAGCTGATTACAAGACTGGAGTCAAAGATAGCTGCAACTCCACCTCCTCGACCTGTGCTTCGAGGAATGTGAGTATTCCTGTGACTGGGAGGGGTGGATTCATTTAGGCTCACATATTCTCCATCACCCAGCCAGGTTTCAGTAAGACAAAATAAATCAATCTTATAATCTGATATGAGTTCATTTACAAGCACACCTTTAGAAGAGAGAGATCTGATATTCAAGAGTCCACATTTTACTCTCTTATTTGCATGCACTATTTCTCTTGTGGTTTTAACTTTTATGAGGTTTCTATAGACAACTCCTCTGTTTACCCTTAATTTTAAAAATGTAAATGACCGGGGGACAGACACCGTCTCTATAGGTTTTTCACTAAATAACTCCTGGAATGGAGGAGCAGAGAAGAGGGTTACATTACAACTCCGCTTCCTCCTCTCAACCCTGGACTGTCACCGATCTAGTCTGCTAACAATGTTGGCTAGGTTTCTAGAAATGAGAGCGGCTCCCTCCCCCGTGGGATGGATGCCGTCTCTCCTAATCAGGCCACGTCTTCCCCAGAAAGACTGCCAGTGATCCACAAAGACCACATCATTGGCTGGGCACCACCTCGCCAGCCATCGACGGAAAGATGACATGCGGCTAAACATGTCATCACTAACCAGGTTGGGCAAGGGGCCAGAGAAAACTACGGTGTCCGACATTGTTCTAGCATATCTACAAACTGACTCCACATTTAACTTAGTGACTTCTGACTGACGTAACCGGGAGTCATTAACGCCTACGTGGATAACAATCTTACTGTATCTACGTCTACCCTTAGCCAGAAGTTTCAAATAAGACTCAATGTCGCCCGCTCTGGCCCCAGGAATACACTTAACTACACTCCCTGGGGTGTTCAGCTTCACATTCCTCAGAATCGAGCTACCTATTACTAGGGTAGGCTTCTCAGCGGGTGGCTCGCTGAGTGGGGAAAATCTGTTAGCTACTCGAACAGATTGAGGGGACACTAGGTGCTTAGACTTTTTACGGCTATTCCTCCCTCGGACAGCCACCCAGCTTCCTTTTCCTGGCTGCTCAGGAGAGGCCGGAGGGGGGGAAGGGGGGGGACGGCTATCAGCTAACTCAGGTCGGTCCGCACCGACTACCTGGGACTGGCTACACTTAGCTAGCCTAGCTAAGGGCTGCTCTACTACGGTGCGGAGCCGAGCTTCTAACGCACTGAGCCTCGCCTCCATGTCTAGAAATAAACTACACTTGTTACACATACCACTACCGTTAAAGGAGGCAGAGGAGTAACTAAACATCAGACACACCGAGCAAGAAAGAGCAGGAGAGCGAGAGGGAGAAGCCATCGCTAGCTGTTAAAGTCGCTAACGGCTAAACAAAAGTACGGTAGAGCCACCGGAACCTTTGTTACATCCGCTATAAGACAGAACAGCAGTCACCCAAGATGGAAAGAACTATTGGTGCTTAGGCAAACTCACTGAAATATAATTACGTTATATGGTAGTTAGCGAGAGCAGAGAAAAAAGCGCTACCACCACACAAACACCGCTAACACCGGAAACGGAAATGGGTCGATACGCTTACCGCTACGCTTACCGCTACGCTTACGCCAGCTTACGCCTCCATGATGGGCTTTTCCGGTGAATGTACATCAGGGTCGTGGCCTCAATTGCGTTGAGAGACCAGCCGACCAAATCCATGGTTGATGTTAGGCTTTAGGAAGTGAAAATGCAGAAAGAGGCTCTGAGATACGACAGGACAAAGATAGCAAGCAGGCAAAAAGGGCAGGGGAGGGAGCAGAGAGAAACACGTCTGCACTCGCCGAGAGCCGGAAGAAGCCAATGCAGCGTTAATTCGTCTTGGGAATGACATATATAAGTCCTGCACAGTGGTCAGAGGGATTTTAAGCCATTCTTCTTGCAGCATAGTGGCCAGGTCACGACGTGATGCTGGTGGAGGAAAATGTTTCCTGACTCGCTCCTCCAAAACACCCCAAAGTGGCTCAATAATATTGAGATCTTGTGACTGTGTAGGCCATGGGAGATGTTCAACTTCACTTTCATGTTCATCAAACCAATCTTTCACCAGTTTTGCTGTGTGTATTGGTGCATTGTCATCCTGATACACGGCACGTCCTTCAAGATACAGTGTTTGAAGCATTGGATGCACATGGTCCTCCAGAATGGTTCGGTAGTCCTTGACAGTGATGTGCTCATCTAGCACAAGTATGGGGCCAAGGGAATGCCATGATATGGCAGCCCAAACCATCACTGATCCACCCTCATGCTTCACTCTGGGCATGCAACAGTCTGGGTGGTCCGCTTCTGTGGGGCTTCTCCACAACGTAACTCTCCCGGATGTGGGGAAAACAGTAAAGGCAGACTCATCAGAGAACAATACATGTTTCACATTGTCCACATCCCAAGATTTGCGCTCCTTGCACCATTGAAACTGACATTTGGCATTGGCATGAGTGACCAAAGGTTTTGCTATAGCAGCCCGGCCGTGTATATTGACCCTGTGGAGCTCCCGATGGACAGTTTTGGTGGAAACAGGAGAGTTGAGGTGCACATTTAATTCTGCCGTGATTTGGGCAGCCGTGGTTTTATGTTTTTAGGATCCAATCCGGGTTAGCACCCGAACATCCCTTTCAGACATCTTCCTCTTGCGTCCACCGTTAATCCTGTTGGATGTGGTTCGTCCTTCTTGGTCGTATGCTGACATTACCCTGGAGACCGTGGCTCTTGATACATCACAAAAACTTGCGCCAGGGAGCCAGGGAGGCTGGCCTGCGCAATTGTGTGAGGTTCGTTTGGAAGGAGACGGCGGTTGGAGGACGGGATTGGTTTGTTAAGACGGTACTGATCGACGGGCTCAAGGTGGACCCAGGTCCACCATGTCTTCTGCCTGCAGTGGAATTCTTCCGACAACGGCTACGATGTTATTCTGCACAGCCAGGTTACATACGACGGTTTGCTAATGACTTGCAAGGCCAATGAAGAGTCTGTTCCCTTTTCCCTTTTCAAGGTGGAGCCTTTGGGACAGAGGAATGTGCGGGTCGTCATAGTGCAAATGTACAACCCGTATGTGAGCAACGCAGCAGTGGCTATTTTTCTGGGAAAGTATGGGAAGGTGGATAAGCCGGTGAAATACCTGAGGACAATTACGGTATTTGGTCAGGTCGGCGACAGTTCCGGGTTCTCTTCGGGGAGGATCCTGAGAGTGGGGATGGCCTTCGACACCCTCCTGCCTTTTTTTCACTCGGATGGGAAAGGTTTTTTTTGTTTTACTCGGGTCAACCGAGTTTTTTTAGGCAGTCTCTGTCATGGTGTGATCAATTCTCTGAACCCACATGTGCAGAACACACTCCGGAGGCAGATCAGGTTAGGGAAATTTATTAGAAAACAACGTGCAGATATGGACAGGAGAAGGTGAGAGGTCTCTTATCTTTCTTTCTCTCTGACAACGGCTGGATCTCTGGATTTTGAGGATTCGCAGGGGAAAGCTCGGCTGGAGGTCTGGGACTGGAGGGTCCGCGAGGCCGGGGCTCAGGGAAGGAGGGGGATAGGCTGGTCAGCGGAGGAACAGCAATCCAGGGTGAAAAAACCTTCCGGCAAGTCACTCGGGTCAGGCGGCCAAGGCGTCACGGAGGAGCAACCAAAACTGGCAAACAGCTCCACCCAGATATACTCCTTCAAATGAGTCAGACATGCGTCAGGTGTGCAGCCGCGAAACCACGCCCTCCAGGAACCTCCAGGAAGCCCCCTGGTGGAAAAAGTGGGAAAGAACCCCAGCCAGCCTTCCCCAGATCCCAACAGTCTCGCTTTTTCTGACATTTGGCGGCTGGCTGCACGCTGATCCGGAACTGTGGAGGGGAGGGACATGGAGCAGCCTCATGCAGTGCACCAAAAACCTGCAATGGGTGTGGGAAAACAGGCCACCTTTTTTAGGTCTGCCCTTCTCAAGGCTGCACATATGCGGCAGTGGCAGGGGAGAGTATGGGCCCAAGCCTGGGACCTTTGGTGGAGGAACCGCAGGAGGTCCGGGGGGTGGAGGGTGACCTTCCAGCAGGGAAGGCAGCAACGGCTGCTGAAGCTGATCCAGGTGCGGAGCCATTCCGGCTGATGGGGCCGAGGACACGGTGGAATAATTACCGGGATATCTGGGTGAGGGAGTGCTGGTAGGCCTGGGGGACTCTCTGCCCATGGAAGGGTCCTGGGCGGACTGGGAGAGGAGTTCAGACATAGGGGAGTCAGCCGGGGCTGTTACTGGAGGGGCGATGAGGAGATTGACGTCCTCAGGAGGGGATCAGCCAGAATTGTCGCCAGAGCCTGGTCGGCCAGGGCAGGAGGAGAAAGTGGATGCGGGCCGGACAACATGCAGAGGCTCAACCCAATGGGGCCCCTTTTTCGCTGTCGGGCCGCTATGACATCCTCACCGGGGATTCGGGAGAAGGGGAGTCCAGTGGACCGGTGGCTGTAAAGGCTGGTCCTGTGGAGGGCTCCAACATGGTGACTCTGGTGGATGGCTATGGGGTGGAGTCTCGGCCTGTGGAGTTGGGGCTGGCGTCACCTTTAAGCCCAACACACTCTTTTCTGGAGGCCGGATCGCCCAGCAGTGTGGCCTACCTGCAGGAGTTGGGGTCTTATGGTCCAGATGGCTCTCTCGGGGTGGAGGCTGAAGGGACCGTGGGAGAGACTGAAAGAGGTTAAGTCATGAGTTTGTTCTCTGTTTTAACTGTGAATGTGCGGGGGATGAGGAATCGGGGAAAGCGTGGAGGTGTTTTTCAGTACTTGTGACATGTTTCTTTTCAGGTTTTTTTTTTACAAGAAGTTCATTTGAGGGATGGGGGGACGTGGGGGTGTTTTCTGGGGGATGGCACAAGGGTGAGTCCAGGTCGGGGGTGGGGGGGTCGGGCATTCATCAGGGGTTGGAATATTATTTGGGGATAGGGACTATCACATTTCAGGCAGTTTTTCAGTGGTGCAGGGGCGGGTCCTGGTGGTGGACGCAAATTGGAGAGGAGTTTATTTTCGTTTTACTAATGTGTATGCTCCGGCTGAGCCGCGGGGGCGCAAGGAACTTTTTTTGGCCTTACCCAATGTCTGCGTCACCAATAGGGTGGTAGTTTCAGGGGGGGATTTCAATGTTTACCAAAAGTTTGCCGTATCTGAGGGAAGTCTTGCAGGGGTTTATATTTCAGGAAGGGTTTAGAGATGTGGATTCCACAGGGGATGGGTTCACTTGGGCCAATTCCCGGGGTTCCCGCTGCCGCATTGACTTAGTTTTTTTGCCCGAGGCAACCACCGTACATAGCGCTGCAGTGTCGCCGGTGTGGTTCTCTGCCCATAGTCAGCTTCTGGTTATTTTTTGGGTGTCTGCGCCCCTTTTATGTAGGGGTTTCTGGAAGTTAAACTGCACAGTGTTGGAGGAAGCGGCTTTCCGTAGGTCCTACATTGCACATTATGGGGTGTGGGTCTTGCTGAAGCCGTGGTTTGGCTCGGTGGTCGAGTGGTGGGAACCGGTGAAGCGCAAAACCCGGATTTTAGCCATTTTGTACTGCACGGACAAGGCGCGGGCGGGGAGGGAGAAGTTTGAGGGGCTACAACGCTCTTTGCTATCACAGTCGTGACCCCAGGACCCAAATGCAAAACTCCAGGCAAGGGAATAAGATGAAGTCGTTTAATCAAGAAAAAGGTCGTTACACAGGTAGGCAATGATCAGGCAAAGGTACAAGGACGGCAGGCAAAAACGGTGGTCAAGGATAGGCAGGCAAAGGTCAGGAAAACAAGGCAAGACAAGACTAGAATGCTGACGACTGACGAAATGACAAGTACGAACACGCGACGAACAATAGACAGACTGGGGACTAAATATACAAGACAGGGAAGGAAACAATGAGACACAGGTGGAGGTAATTAGGGAGGAGTAAGGAAATCAACAGAGAGCAAGTGGGAAAGCCACACAGGGACCAAACAGGAAGGACTACAAAACAAAACAGGAAACGTGACAAGACATCCATGGCATTTGCAGGCTATGGTAGCCACCGAGAATAGGGGGGTGGGGGTGGGGGGGGTGGATAGGGAGGGGATGGAGGCCGTAAAGATTTTTTCGGGGAGGCGTTTGGGGAGCAGTTGGTTGACTGCTCTGGGGCAAGCCGTTTTCTCGGGGGGTTGGAGGGGAAGTTGCCTGCTGAGGTGGTGGAGGAGTTGGAGCGGCCGGTAACGATGGCTGAACTTGAAGGGGTTATGAAGGGGTTGCCAGCAGGCAGGGTGCCTGGAATTGACGGATTGCCAAAGGAGTTCTATGTTGCTTTCTGGGGGATTCTAGGGAGGGATTTTTTCGAGGTGATGAATTCACTCTTGGAGGGGGGTCTTCTTGGCACAACGATGAGGGAGGGGATCCTAACCCTCTTATAGAAGAAGGGGGACAAGGACCATTTTGAGAATTACAGGCCGATCTCCCTGCTCTGCACGGATTACAAGATCATGGCCAGGGTTTTGGCACGTAGGCTCCGAGGTGCTGCCACTCTCAATTGACATCAAGGTCTGTTGGCCCAGCTCCTCGGGTGATGATGTCAGCTATGTTGTGTGGTCCAGGGATCCACCACCAGTCCTCTAGCCTTGTGTTACTTTGAATCTCTCCGATCCTATTAGCGGAGAAAGTCTGAAACCCGTAGCTCTCACGCTGGATAGCTCCAAGAACTGTCTGGCTGTCCAATAAATGGAATCACTGCTTAATTTTGATCTGGCTGTGTATTGTTCAAAGTACTTTGTCAGGCGGCTTGCAAAGACAGCACCACAAAGCTCCGCTTTGACTGCATCCCCCTTGTGGTCTAGGGGCATTAGCTTTGCTTTTGACTCCACTAGTTGAACTGTTGTTTGTTCTTGGCAATTCCATCATAGGTAGAGGACAGCACCGTAAGATGTTTCACTGCCATCTGAAAAGGTGACTGCGAGTGGATCTGATGCTTGACTTAGCAAATCACTTCTTGTCAATAGGTTTGGTGTCCGTGATCGAACTTCTTCCAGCAACAGATCTTGGCCAAGCCTCATTTTCTTTTTTCGTCTGGAGAAGTTGACTCTCACCATGACATGCAACTTGTCCTCAGCCACAATGTAGCCAAGACCAAGTGCCTTATTATCTTTTTCCTTTAGCTGATTTGGCAGGTCAACAATATTTGGTGAGGCCTCTTCTTTCTGTCCTTTACTTTGCCCAGAAAAGACTTGGCTTATCAAAGGCTGTATTTCTTTCGGCCTCTCCAATTCTTTGAGAAGGACGTCTGGAAAAAACTTTTGGAGTCTTTTGGCTGTCACATGTATGTGGATGTCCGCAATGCTGTCCAAGCCATAACAGAGGAGTTGGTGGAACTTGAAGTTGCCCTTTTCTGTACAGATCCGGATCTTTAGGAGGTATCGTTTTGTTGTATCTTGTACTTTCATTCCTCCCACACCATGGACGACAAGGGTTATGGCTTCACTTCTAAGATTCAATCGATCAGCTACATCATGAGTTATGTAGTTTGTATCCGATGCTAGATCGATTGGTGTCCCAACTTTTTGTACTGCATTGGCTGTGACTCCTAATAACATCATGATGACAGGCCATTCCATTAATCCATTTTCCAACAGAGGACCAGGCTGTTTAGACATGAGAGAGGTTTTGGCCACACTGTTGCAAAAGACATGACGGCACTTTTCTGCAAGCTCAGGTGACAGGCTCTTTATGAAATCTTCTTGGACTTGGGTGTAACGCCCTCCGACTGTGCTCTCTTTGGGTCTCTGCGTAGCATTTCCCCATGACACTTCAGCACTCGGACAGAGGTAATAATGGTGTTCAGCAGTGCGTTGTTGTCTTTTTGCACAGGAACTCTGGTTTACAGTATTCATTGTCATTGTGAATCTCCAGACATTTTTTGCATGCGCCCAGTTTTTGACAGCATCTCTCCTCTCTGATAGTTTGAGCGTGCAAAACATTTGGCAGAAGTATAATCTTCTCTTGTGCTTCACATCGCCACAGACCACACATCCTTGAGCCTGATTGCTTGGTTGGGTGGAGGTTCTAGTCCGGGCTATCTGTGGTTCAGATTTTGTTTTTGACTCCTCCTACTTCAACTGGTCCAGCTTCTCATAGATGGCTTCTTGACTTTGTAGGAATGCCAAGAGGTAGTCAAAACGTTTGTCTTCTTCGGCTTCATCACCTTTGCCGGATACATGGAGAAGCCACTCCTTCTTTAAGCCATCCGGGAGTTTACTCTCTATTGTTTTTGTAACAAGAGGGTTTTTTATAGCGCCGGTCTTACCAAGCTCATTCAGGTTAATAAGAGCTTTCTCTTCTGATTGTATGAGCTCAACAATCTTCCTGGGCTGCTGGCCTTTAACAGCTGGGAATCTCTGGAGCTCCTCCACTATTTCAAGGGCAATTGTGGTTTTATTTCCAAAGCGGTTCTCTATGACCCGGAAAACTTCTTCAGCTGTTGTGTGAGATGTAAGACGAAAGTCCCGTATGGTCCTTCCATCTAAACTGTCAAGTAGCTGGAATTGTTTTGATTTCTTTGGATCCAGTAGGTTCTCCCTGCATCTGGAGCGCTTCCCAATCTTTTTTCCACCGCTGAAACTCTCGTCGGATACCAGTAAACTTTGGGAGGGCAGCCGGCTTTAGCTTAATGGCAGGTGCGGCTGAATGAAGCAGTGCTTAATCTG